AGATACTAACAATCTTCACTGGGCCTAGTGACAGTTTAGAACATTCTGAGGAATGTGTTTTGTTGCTCGGTCTTCTAAATGAGTCTCTCCCTAAAACCAGCCAACCTACATAATTTATAGCTTCCAGAGGAAAGGAGGTCACATTACTTTAGCATGGATCAGTCTGATTCTAATTGGTTTGCTCAGGTTGTTTGTGACTTGCTTGGCTTTCCTTCCTTCAGGACAGTAACATGGAATTATGTAGAAAGCAAGAAATGAGAGTACCAGTATTAAAGCACTGCAGTCAGATTTGATCAGAAATACACTGAAATGTCTCTACCTGTTGTTCTGAACTAAAATGTGCCATAGTAAGTAGAAAAAGCAAACAACATTTTAAGCCTTAGTACTTTCTAAATTACTTTTAATATGGTCTAGAATTGAACATATAACTACCAACACTTTCTATTTTGGCCAGCCTGTAACTTTTAAAATAAAGACCAAATCCTAACTACTCCCAGGCTGCCCACTTACATGGCCATCCTTTCACAAATCTCTCCACATTTGCATGTCTATAAGCCCTGTGTATTTGTGATTGTATTTTGGGCATATGTGTGTGTAAAAATTGAGTGAAAAAAGAATTTCCCCATTGTGCATTAATAATAATTCTAATTATTAATTAATTATTTTTCTTCTTTATACTTAAATTATGAATTATTTTGGTGTTACAATTTTCATAGTTTTGCTCATAATTCTGACCAGTAATAAGATTGTACGTAAATTAAGATGTCTGATCATCTGATGAGACCATCTGATGTCCCAGCACACAACATTTTTACACTAATTTTGGTGGTTTGAGGGTGGTGTTCTTGGAAAAGTATCTGTCAATTGGAACATTGAAATTTTGACAGTAAAAAAATAGTTAATATTTACCCACGGACATACCCAGTTTTTTACCAGCACCAACTTTTTTTGCACTCCTTCTTGTAACAGTCAGTTATTTTCTTTATTGACATTCTGTTTTCCTCCTCCAGGCGAGTTGTTTGAAAAGCCAGAGGTGAGTGACATTAAGTTCCTGTTCTTAGTGGGAGGATTTGCAGAATCTCCCCTGCTGCAGCAAGCTGTCCAGAACATGCTTCAGGGCCGTAGCCGCATCATCATACCCCATGATGTTGGCCTCACCATTCTGAAAGGTGCTGTGCTATTCGGCCTGGACCCCAGCGTAATTAAAGTCCGCCGCTCGCCCCTCACATACGGGGTTGGCGTCCTCAATCGCTTTGTGGAGGGCAAGCACCCACCGGAGAAGCTGTTGGTGAAGGACGGCACACGCTGGTGCACCGACGTTTTTGACACCTTCATCGCTGCCGACCAGTCCGTGGCACTGGGTGAGATGGTAAAGCGGAGCTACACACCTGCCAAGCCCTCTCAGCAGGTCATCGTCATCCACGTCTATTGCTCCGAGAAGGAGAATGTGGGGTTCATCAGTGAACCCGGCGTCAGGAAGTGTGGAACACTTCGCTTGGATGTGACTGGAACAGAAAGCACGGCACCACGGCGCGAGATCCAGACGCTCATGCAGTTCGGTGACACAGAGATTCGTGCCATGGCAGTGGATGTGTCCACCGGACGCACAGTCAAATCTA